ACAGCTTGGAGTAGAAGACCTCATGGAGCAAAGGTGAAACCAAAATGGCGTCTTGTATGACCTGGAAGTGGATCTCATGCAAATGCTGACCTTGAACAGTCTATTCATCTGACCAACAAAGGTAAGTAGGGAGACGGAGCAAGATGGTCGTATAGAAATCTGCTCCGACATCTGGGCACCTAATCTGATGTAATCTCATCATCCAAAGCTGCATCCAGCAACCTACCACCGCGATGTCACAACACAGGAATAAGAAGGGCTCGGTGAAGACTGAAAAACTAAACTTTTTCAACCAGAAATCGGCTCCTGCAACTCCGGCGGACCAGGCCTCAAACGACAACGAGGACCCCGAGCTGGATTATACCATGCAAAGCTCGCAAACTGAAGTACCACTAAACAACCAACAGCTCACAAAAGCTGATCTCTCAGCAGCCTTAGAGACACTATCGAACAAATTAATAACAACTTGGCAACACACAGCCGACTCCTTAAGAAAAGACATACAAGAGTTGGGGAAACGAACATCCAATATGGAGGACAAATGTGATGAAATAGCAACGGCACACAACGACCTCGCCACTACTGTGGAACACTTGTCTGCCCAACTAACCACTATGGAAGAAAAACTAACGGACATGGAAGACCGTTCACGCAGGAACAACCTCCGCTTGAGGGGGGTTCCGGAAGAAATCAGCAATGCAGACTTACCGGCATATGTTCGGGGGCTGTTAAAGGCGCATGCACCAGAGATCCCAACGGACATGCTGCTGGTGGATAGAGTGCACCGTATCCCCAAGCCGCGACACCTGCCTCCGGAGACCCCAAGGGATATACTAATGAGGGCCCACTACTTCCATATAAAAGGAGTACATTCTTAGAAACAGCAAAACACGCGCCAATCCACCAGACGAGTATGCCACAGTTCGTATCTATGCAGACCTCTCAGCAGCCACTCTCCGGAGAAGAAAAGAATTCTCCCAAGTCACAGGTGCCCTGAGAACGCACAATATTCGCTACAAATGGGGTTTCCCCACAAAACTCCTTATCACAAAAGATGGAACGACAACAGTAATCCTAACCCCGGAGGACGGCATGAAGAGGCTGAGAACCTGGAATATGTCACTCACACCTGACCTCCAGGATAAACCAACGATCCGCGAACCGCTTAAGCCCGAATGGACAAAAATCCCGAAGAAACATTAAATACCAGACGACGACTGGTTTAACGGCAAGACTCAAGCAAGAATTCAAAGCAACTGGCTCCAATGGTGAACAGACCCCATTGAAACAGCCCGACCTTCGACCGCCCACAACACAAAGACCTTTAGCCGCGATACAGAGAGCCCCACCGCCAAGTAAGCAACTGGATCCGGGGCTCCCGCCATCCCTGTGACGAAGCACGGCAGAGCAGTGGAGCTACGCGGGGGACCCGGGTCTGGAACCGCGGATTGGGACTGATATCGCCCCGGTAAGACTGCAAACCTACCAATCATCACCCATACCCGGGTGCGCAGCCCACGTAGAACTCATTTTTATTTCTTTTTTGGCCTCCCAGGACTCGGAGACTCAGCCTCCCTCTAGACACTGTTATAGGGCAATTTAGCAGCCCAGTATTGAATGGAATGGGGGGTCTGGGGCTCTTAGGGGGCGGGAGGCAATGACAAGGTGGGCTACCAAACGGAAGCCCCCGGGGAAAAGGGATCTCACGTACCCAGGGTGGGGACCACTTTGTCCCGCTAGGGGCCACACACACACACACACACACAACAGGATAGCCCGCCCAGTGGGAAATCATGGGCAGAGAAACCCGGGTGACCATACAGCGCAGACACATACATGACAACACACCGGGAGAATACCAGCTGTCCCAGTGGACACATCTGTCGTCCACCAGGGACTTATAGCAGCCGGTGCCCAATCTGGCCACGAAATTCTAACTACATCACGCAAAAGGGGGAAAGGTCATTCCCTATGACATGTGAACCGGACCCAGTTAACGAAGCCAAACCTCATGAGTAATTTGCAGCAAACCATAAGCAAAGCCCAAAGACCACGTAAATGGAGGCACTGAGAAACTCCATCCCCCAAGGTGTGGAAACCTTGCACCTTGTCTCACATCGAGTCATCATGTACATAGTTAACACCCCCACCCCCAGTTCTTACTCCCCCCAGCATCCTCTCCCCAGTTCGGTAAAACAAATAGGGACAACACAGGTTGACAGAAACCCTAATCACACAAGTACAAAATGTAGCGCCGCACCACCGTATACATATGTTGTACTAGCTACTGCCTACAGGGGGCCAACCGGGATCGCACTTGTCACTACACTAACTTGGTGCACATGCACATCTAGCAAGCTATTTACAACTACACATAAATGGTGAAGGTACAATCAATCAATACACGCGGGCTGAACACTCCACATAAACGAAGATTACTGTTGGAAGAAGCCCAAAAACACAAAACCGATATATTATGTATACAAGAGACCCATTTTGTGCATAACAGAGTACCGACATTCGCAACCAGAGACTTCCCAGTGCAATACCACTCAACACATTCATCCAAATCTAGAGGGGTCTCGGTCCTAATACACAAATCTATAACATTTGAACTCTTACAACTGAAAAAAGATACACAAGGCAGGTTTGTCATACTACACTGTAAAATAAATGATACGCAATACCTCCTAGTCAGTGTCTACGGCCCAAATGACAATCAAAGAAATTTCTTGCATAGGATATTGACAAAACTGCCAACCACGATACACGTTCCCACAATAATCTGTGGAGATTTTAACCACATACTACAGCCCACATTAGACTCTACCTTGCCAGCCACATCTCCCAGACACAAAATCTTACGTAAACAAGCAATTCCACTGACACGTCTAATCTCAGAATATGGACTCTATGACGTATGGCGAACACAACATCCGGATAGCCGGGAATTTACTTTCTATTCCACAGTCCATAACACTTACTCTAGAATTGACTACATTCTAGTGTCGGGAGACCTTCTACCACATGCCACCAGCAGCACCATAGGCGAGATAACATGGTCGGACCATGCAGGGATATGGTTAACACTCAAGGATAATTTCGCATTCCGGGGGGCAACCCCCTGGCGCCTAAATGACACACTTTTAAACAACCCCGAATTTAACCAAATACTGGACACAGAATTAGTGTCATATTTCACCCGCAACACGGCACCAGAAATAACGCCAGCAACTTTGTGGCTCGCACATAAAGCAGTAATCCGGGGGCACCTTATAAGCAGAGCATCCCACCTTAAACACAACTCAGATAGAGAATATCTGACTCTACTTAGATCCCTTAGGGACGAAACATCAGCCCATATATCACAGCCCTCCACTGAACGACAGCAGCGGATACAGCAAATACAAACACAGATCAACAACATACACATGTTGAAAACAGTTCATATCGCAAATAAACTAAAATTCACTACTTACACACAAGCAAATAAAGCAGGGAAAGCGTTGGCGTCGATACTTAGGCAAAAGCATCTGAACGCCAAAATCCCCTTCCTCCTTAACGAGAAAGGAAACAAAATATTTAACCCGCAAGACATAAACAATATGATGGCTGACTATTATGATGCACTATATAATTTAAACACAGACGGTGACACCCACCAACCTCTCCCATCTAACATAGATGAATTCCTATCGGGAATGAGGCTACCAAGGCTGACCCCAGACAACATTTTCACTTTAGAAACACCCGTCACACTTAGCGAAATACAACACACAATAAAGACACTTCCTAAAGGGAAATCTCCAGGACCAGATGGGTTCACAAACTTATATTATAAGACCTTCTCACATACGCTAGCACCCCACTTAAAGAAACTATACAACCATATATTAAATACGGGAACCATACCCCAAGAAATGCTAATAGCCCATATATCAACCTTACCCAAACCCGGCAAGCCACCCCACAAATGCCAGAACTTACGCCCAATATCACTATTAAATACAGACTTAAAAATACTAGCCAAAATCTATGCCACTAGATTGGGGAACATTTTACCATCCTTGATAAAGGATGACCAGGTGGGCTTTGTTAAAGGACGACAGGGTTCTGACGGGACCAGGAAACTCATAAACCTTATCCACAATATTCAACAGACAAAGGAACCCAGTGTGGCCCTGTCACTAGATGCAGAAAAGGCATTTGACAGGCTGCACTGGGGATACCTGGAGGCGGTCCTCCAAAAATACAACTTCCCACAACGCTTTTCGAAGCTAGTTTCCGCCCTGTATGACAAACCAACGGCGAAAGTGATCAATGGAGGCTTTGCCTCCAAACAATTTCAAATCTCAAACGGCTCTAGGCAAGGTTGCCCACTATCACCCCTTTTATATATCCTAGCACTAGAACCACTAGCACAAACTATCCGGGAAAACCGCAACATATCGGGGGTTACTGTGGGCAACAAGACACACAAAATCACATTATTTGCCGACGACGTGATGCTTACCCTAACCAAACCTGAAACATCCTTACCGGCACTACAAGCTGTAATCCAAAGATTCGGCAACTGCTCATACTATAAACTCAACGTCGCCAAAACCCAGGCCATGAGCTTCAACATTAGAAACCCAAGACTCTCAAACCTGCGAGCCGCCTTTACATATGACTGGAGACAGGACCACCTTACCTTTTTAGGAATAGCGTTAACACAACATACACACAAATTGTACCAAGCTAATTACGTGAAACTCCTCCGGGAAATAAATACTCAACTACAAAACTGGAGGGGGAAATATGTGTCGTGGATGGGTAGAATAGCGGCGGCAAAAATGATGGTACTGCCCCGTTTACAATACCTATTCAGGACACTACAAATAGATCTCCCAAGGCAATTTCTTACTAAGTCCCAACAAACAATAAATGCGTTTATATGGGGGGGGAGAAGAGCCAGAACCGCAGCAGACATCCTATACAGACCCTTCAAAAAGGGAGGAATGGGGGTGCCGGACGTCTCGCGATACTATCACGCGGCCATAGTAGGAACACTAGTACAAATGCACCACCACAAAAATTCACTAGCGTGGAATCAAATTGAAACGGTGCACACTGAGGGGCTACCACTACACACACTAGCCTGGATGCCAGTTGGCAAAAGGCCACACCACAAAACGATATGCCCAACTACGACAACGACACTGAAAGTGTGGGATAAATTAGTTAAGAAACAACAATCTCGAATGCGGATCTCCACAGCTTTCCAACTTCAGGCACTAACTATCCTGATTCCAGGATTCGAATATAAAATATGGCACTCTCATGGGGTATTCTGCTTGTCGCAGGTTCTAGACAACGGACATATGATAGACTATGACACACTACGCAACAAGTACAACCTCCCACCTACCACCTTCTTCCCATACCTACAACTAAAATCGTGGGTACACAAACACTATGATAATACACAAGTCCAGGGACACTTATTCACAGAGATAGAACGTTTATGCTTAGCAACAAAGCCTCCGCAAAGGCTACTATCCACCTTGTACAGTTTGATTGGACCAAGTGACCCTATAGAACAATTTAAATGTATTAAGGCATGGGAAAGGGAACTTGGACAAACACTGACGCCAGAAGAGTGGTCTAGCACATTGAGGGCCCACAAAACGCTGACACTAAACACAGCACATATCGAAATCAGTAGGAAAATACTATATCGTTGGTACATGGTGCCAACCAAACTCCACAAAATAGATCACGCAAAGAGAGACACATGCTGGAGATGTGGTGAGGCACCAGGCAATATGGTACATATATGGTGGGCATGCCCGAAATTAATCCCCTTTTGGTCCGAAATATCGGACATATTAAAAGACATCACGGGAGTAAAACTGCCGCACACTCCGCTCTCCTTTCTGCTATTAATCTGGCCCGTAACACTGCGAAAACCAGACGCATACATTGCATATCACATCATTATTGCAGCCCTGACCGCCATCAGTAAAAGCTGGCTAAAACCCACACCTCCTAGTGTGCGACAATGCGTGGAAATGGTTGAAGTAACAAAAACATTTGAGAAGGCAGCAAGAAGCACACGCAAATCTAGAGGATACTGGACGTTAGCATGGAGCAAATGGGAAATATGGAACCAACAAAGCTGTACCCCCATAACCTCTGAAATTGAATAGGGAGCAAAATTGGCAAAACAAATCCCCCCTACTATTGTGACATACTATTGTGACACACCTTTGTGACACACTATCGTGACACGCTATCACGACATAATTATGCCCCTAGTAGAACGGTAGAACGGTATCCCTATGAACTAAACCGAACTCGTCCCTCTCCCCCATCTCCCCTCACCCCCTCCTACCAAGTTTAACCCCCCCCCTTTTGTTCGTACCACCCCCCAACGCCAAAACAAATTCACCACATACATATATGGAGGCTATCTCTCTAAAAACAATAGCCACCGGCCTCCAAGAGGCATCTATGGTGCACCTAATAGACCATGTTAACAAGGCGAATTATAGATGTAAGAAACTATAATATGTAATTGCTGATATATGATTGTGATGTGTGAACTTGGAAAATTTGTAGCAAGACTTCCCTATTCCCCTCTTCTCTTCTGTATCCCCACTGCATTTATACTTTTGAATGACAAAGCAATAAAAATAAAAAATATCAAAAAAAAAAAAAAAAGGTAAGTAGGGAAAGGGGGGAGTCCCTTTTATAGGTCTATAGCCCCTCCCACAACTTCAGGCCATGCCTTCCAATATATAGTCATACTAAGTGTATTTTTATATTAATATGTACTTATATTAATATAAAAATACACTTATAATTAAATTACACATGTATATATAATATATAATAACTATATATTGTATACATATTATAAAATATAAATAATAAGTAATTTAAATTAAATAAAAAAAATTTAAATAAATTAAAAATTATATATCTATATGAAATTTTATTCTAACTGTATTTTTAAAATATATATATATATATATATATATATATATATATATATATATATTTATATTTCTGGGGGGCGGGGCCGGACCGCCGAGCTGGACGGTTGCAAACTTGAGCTGCTCCTGCAAAATATCGACAAATACTCTGAAAAACCATGTATTACTGCCTTCCAACTGACCACCAGTGACAGTGCCCAGAGCGCAGAGACTGCTGGACCCTGGGAGAGGCTGGCTCACCGAGCTACAGTCCCCGGGAGGAGATATCCTCGTTGCCACGGGGCCTTCTCCGGCGGTGAGTGGGGCGGACGGCCGCTGCCCCACTGTCCTGCACCACAGTACCCAGCTTGAGGCACAAATCCAGGTGGATCCGGACCTGTCCCCCCCCCCCCCGGACCGGTGGGGGTGATCCCGGTCCTCACCCTGGGGCCCTATTCAAGACTACACACATGGAGCCAGGGGACCCGAGAGTGGCTCTCAAGATGGCGGGCACCATGTGCGTGGGAGGTATGGAGAAATCCTGCACCATTTCCGGACCCACGGCACACAACGGGATTCCGTCACCCCGACCTGGCAACAGGGAGGAGCGGATAAACCACCACCTACTCCTGCAGCCACATAGGCCGAAAATTAGCGGCACAAGAGACCCTGATGAGCGGCTCATGGCGAAAGCTTTAGGGGAACGGAACATCGCATCACGATCACTCCCGCCGTGGACATCGGGGCTTGCCGCCAAGCGAGCTACCCTCACACAAGGACTCTCCTCGCACTCACCTGCCACCCAGCTTGCACTACCACTACCCAGACAACAGCACAATCAAGCGGCAGACGCCGAGATACCGGCGGGGTATGACACCAACCCGAGGACGATCGACAGTGGCAGGCTCCACAATGAGCGGCTGATACCCAAGAGACTCCGGCGAGGGCCCTACAGTACAGCATGGATGGACTATACCATGATGCCTGCTCTGAGGGACGTTAGCTCCATGCTATATGAAAGTAGCAGAGCAGGTATCGGATAATTACGGGACTGCCCCTGTCTATGTGGGCTCGAGACCACCCTGAAGCCAGCCCTTTCCCATGGA